TGAATTAAAAAGACAAATTTCAGTAGAACCTATACAACACCCCAAAAATAGAAAATCATTTAAGTATTTTTATTTTGATGTTAAATTGAAGGTCTTCATAGACAAGTCATCTTTCTACATTTAAAAAGAAGATGCACCTGAAAATACGAATGACAGAACATCCTGTTAGGATTTTATACACTTTTCTTTAAGATGGTGTTTGTTCATCCTCAGAGTGTGCACAATCTTTTTTGTTGTTGTTGCTTATTTGAAAAGCAGAATTAAGAACACATGAGAAGTAAGCACAGAATGAAATAACTTAGGCATTCATACTTTTGTGTTTACTGTTTCTTAAATCCACTAGTAAAGAAATCTGTTATTTCACCAGTAATTTCAACCATTCATAAAATTCATTCTTCATGTCTTCTTAGATAATCTCATTTTACACATCATTTTTCTCTTGGGCATATTTTCCTCCGTTCATCATAATCTTTAAATCCTTCTAAAGCAGGAAAGGAGACAGAAGAAGATGCAGGAAATAAGCAAATAAAAAATGCCATACCATGGTTGAAAATAATAAAAAAATAAAACAAACAACAAACCCACAAAGTGTGCCAAACAAAAAACTCACTACAACTACCACCTGAAAACAGATCCTATCAGACAACAGTTTTATCTTGTCCGCCAAGCTGCAACATCCCTATACCTCAACTTTCTTAGCTTTAAAATGGAAAACAATTTTAAATCATGTAGCCCCACAGTGCACTGGAGAAATGAATGCACCAGTATCCATGAGATATTTGGAAGATATTACTGAGTTGAAAGTATAGTTTCAGAAAGCAGAACTATTTTTTCCACTATTTTCATGTAAACATGTCTTCATTAATTTTGTCTCTTCTTTTTTATTCCACTTTTCCTCTGCTATAGATAAAGCATCTCCATTTAAATAACTAGCTCCTACCTATCCCTCCTAATCCTTTAGAGAACTACTATAATTTACAAAACAATGTTACAAAGCATAATCCCAATAGTGGAGGAAGCTTCATTTCAAACTTACTACCCAGTCATTACAATGAAATCACACATTGGTTATCTTGTGCTTTGGAGAACAGAAAAACAAAAGCCCTCAAACAATGGGAACCAATGTACCCGGGAAGGCTTTAAAAATTTGGGTTCCGTATCTCTGGGAACTAACATATCTTGCCAGGATTTGTGAACAATGTTTCTAACTCTCCGATCTAAAGGATTCCCTTCTTCCCACTGCATCCCATTGGGGTGACACTGTATGGTTTACCCAACCAAGAAGCTTAACCTGACTCACTACACTTTTTTTTTTTTCTCCCCAAAGGCAGACACAACACAGAGCTTCCCGAGAGCTTCAGAGGGGCACCCATTACCTCCCAGAACAATAAACATTCACACCTCAGGGTACATGGTGCGTTCACCTTTGGGGACAATATGCACCAGTACCAGAGAGCCCTGAACCCACTGTGGGATCCTGCTCAGTCATGCCATCAGCTGCCAATGAGCAATGTGCAGAGGTGCACCCTACATCTCCTTCTGCCTGCCATGGGCAGGACACTCTTGATGTTATAACCTCCAGAGCTCTTCACCACAAATAGTCTTTTTTTCCCCCTGTGATCTCAGGGGTAAATTAAGAGCCTTCAGTAGGGATCCTCCTATTGATTTCAGATCCAAAGCCCTTAGGCTTTGCCTGCATGATTTCACTTCTATTTTAAAGGTCTGGGCAATCTCAGCTATTTCAAACTACATTAATTTGTTCACATTAATGTACAACTTGTAGGCTCAGAACTCAACATCCACAGTCAAAGATGACTCAGACTACTAAACCCTTTCTGGATTTTTTTTCCCCCCCCTTTTTCTGAAAGCAAACCATCTCACTATCTTCTCTCCTACCTTCTTGGCTGTCCTCATTTATCCAATCAGATGTCAGTGACTTCCACAGCTGTTGTTCCTCACTGTTCATATTAGGACTTTCCCTCTTGGGTCACTTACAGTCTGCTGGGGAACTGTGTGAATGAGGGTACATACTGGCCTTAAGACAAAACCACCCACATTAAGTAAATTTAAGTCAGTGCTTCCTCCAGGAAATAAAGTCTTGTATTACTTACAAACAGATTTGATTACGATTTGGAGAATTGTTTAAACCCATTTAGCAGATCAAAGGAATACAGATTTACTGATGTGCTCATTGTTTCAACAAACACTGGTTCATAGCTGATGCAAAGATCTACACGCTTGTTTCCCTCATAAAACATTAGTGAAAACACAGGCCATGGTAAAGATGCCAACTTTAGATCTCATCATTTTCTCGAAATATCCTCTTCAGATTTTACATTTTAAATGGCCTTATCCTAACATATTCTGAAATTAAAAAGTCCATGAAAGTAATACCATGAAAAAGCTCTCATTCATGTGTTTGTCTTTCTCTTCAAGGCTGTAAAATATCCATCAATCTCATTAGACACCTAAAACCCTTCCAAAAAAAAAAAAAAAAATCACAACTTCAAAGAGAACTTTATGCACGTATGTTTACCATGGCATTCAGTACACATGCAGACTCATACAGCACCATGCAAACAGCTCAGCAAAGAAGCGGTTAAGACAAATGATATGCTCAAAGCACTTCCAAAAATCACTCTAGATCATTCTGTTTGTGAGAAGCATTCTTTCTGACAAGCAGGATTGGTATCAGCCTCAGAAGTTGACGTCGATCAGACATAAGTCAAGGAACCTCCAAACTGCAAGGAGCAACTTGTGAGATAAAACACGGATCGGAATGCTCATATCAATGAAATGGATATCCTTTATTCTCCAGAAGTAATTATCATACCTTTGGCTTCAAAGGGGTTTTGGGGGAAAAATTTGAAGGAAATATGGTTAATTCTCACAGAGTACCATTTAACATATTGCAAAAAAAAAAAAAAAATCTATTTTTGGGAAATGGTTGAAAAAAAATCCCTGATTAGCCTCTTAATGGGGTGAGTCCAATTTAGTGAGAAGGATCACCAGAGGGAGTTACTGACTTTCCCATTAAAGTCAAAGGGAATTACGCATACATCAGGAGTGCAGAATTTGGGGGCGGAGCTGAGAAAGACTCCAAACAGACTGCAGTTCTGATGGAAAATATTGTCTTACAGATTTCAGTGAATCCATTTCCCCCTTTGGAGTCCCAAAGGATAACTGTTATATTCCACAGTAAAAGTTAGAAGGCACGGAAGTAAGTCATGCAGTGGTTACAAACTGCCCCTTTCCCCACTTTGTCCTCTTCCCCCCAACCAAAAAAAAAAAAAAAAAAAAAAAAAAAAAAAAGAAAAAGCATTTAATTAGTTTTAAGTAATTTGGAGTGGCACAAGTAGTACTGCTCCAATTTTTCTCTCATTGGCTAGGTAACATATTGCAGTATTGGAAAAGCAATTTCAACCACCCGAAGCAAATCTCCAGGTGCCATACATATGAGAGTGTGTCATACCTCTTGGGAATATCAGCACTTCAAACAGGAAGAGAAAAGAGTGAAAAGTAGAGAGGAAGAATTGCTACAATGGCTTTTTTCTTCTCCAATGATAGTTACTAAGAGAGGAAGTGAGAATAGGGATTTGTAAACTAAGTGATAAAATAAACTAAGTAGATGACCCAGTCTACTCAGCCATGAGCAAGTGGTTACTTAATTCTCAGTTTCATAACCTTCAAAGAGTAAGAAGTTCACAGCAAGAAGTGGGCTTTTCCTTGCCAAGCTTCAGCTCAGCCTTGTTTTTGCCACAAAAGCCCAGTGGACTTTGATTTGAAAATGAGCTCATTCACCAGGCAACTTTCCCCTTAATTCTGTGCAATAGCATTATATAGCAGAAAATGAGGTGATCTGAAAAGGCAAGGAAAGAGCCCCACCCTATCAAATGCAATTTCACTTCCCTAGAAATGTCCTCTGAACAAACGGAATTCAATTTGTTTCTGTGTTCCCAGGTAACAGCAGCACCTTGTTTGGCTTGTTTATTTAATTACCTTTTCTTGTTCATGCAATTAACTCAGAGACTGCAGCCTTTTGTTCATTATGTTCACCATAATACAGTTATTTGCATAGCGGTTGCCATTTCCAGGCTGGATTTTAAAGCTCTATTTTGGGCTGTGCCTGACAACTGCTGGGAAGGCTTAGGCAGGGCTGAAGGCAGCATCCTGCTGCATTCTGCTCTGTGTTGGGATGAGCCACACTGTGAGCTGCATGGGCTGCACAGCTGCTTCTGATGGTAGATCCAAAGTAGGCCCAACTCGCACTGCAGTGCACTGCATGCATTGTATGTGCTCTCAAAAACAGCTCAGCTGTTTTTGCTGATGAGGTGCCAAAGCTCAACTTTACTGACCATAAGAGCAGTACAGGGCATCACTCTGGTCAACATATACTCATATTGCAGTTGGGTGAAGAAATTTAGAGATGGAGTCTATTTTAGACTTTCTTTCACGAAGAATTTAATTTAACAACCAACTCAATTTAGTGTTGCTGTGAAGCTCATGTGAGCTGTTAAAAAATAAAATATTTTCTTAAATACTCAGATATGTCTTCAGATCACAAAGGTTAGCAGAATGCCAACCCTTTCCTTTAATAAATGTGATAATCACCAAAATCATCCATCCTGAATTTTGGCCAGTGAAATTTGGCCAACTTATTTTTATGTGTATTGCTCAAAAATAGAAGAATCCACACTTCCCTGCAGAAGCCAGAGGCAGAGGCAGTGACAGTGGGAGTCTGCATGTTCTGGTGTGCAGCAGGCACCTTCATCTCAGCCGAGAGGCACCTAAACACCCACAAAATTCTTCCTCTCAGGAGAAACAGCATACCAACTTACGTGATTTGAAATAGAACTGGAACACACAGCTTAGAAAAATTGTCAGTCTTCATGGTTAACAAATAGCTTTAATATATGGAAGACCAATAGCTATGGTTAGAATTAGCTCTGTAACCAAGGGTAACAAAGAGCATCCCTTTAATGGCATGGTTATAATCCTACCTGTGCCATCTGCCTCTCCAGCTTCGACCGGGGAATGTCATCAAAATAGTTTTCATTTCTTCTTCTCCTTGCATCACCCTGCATGATAATGTGGGGAACGTCCAGGGAGCCACCAGTAGTGAAAGTGCTTTGGCTGAGTGATGGAGACAACTGAGGAGGAGTGTGGTTACCGCTGGGTTCCTGGACAGAGAGGATAAATATATAGCATATTTTCCAGACTACATATTTTAAAATGTATTTCAGTTATTCAGGCTAAAAAGAGATTAATGAAGAATTCCTGAAGTGGAGATTATTGTGAATGAACATTATGGAGATGACAGCGAGCTCACAGCGGCACAGAGGAAGCAGTCACTTCTTTCTTCTCAAAACCCCTCTTCCTCCCTTGTATGTGAGAAGAATAAGGCAGTTCTAGGAGGTGGCTCTCTTCTTCCTGTGCATGTGGCTAGGGAGCTGACAGACAGCACTCAGAAATTTGGCTCTTCCCCAAAAATGTGCTACCTAAGGTGCAGGGCCCACACAAAGAAAAGAATACTTAATTGCAACTATGAGCAAGTGGCAAATCCATTCTCTAAAACATCCTTGTGCAATACAGCAGTTCATTTCTTATTATCTGCTACAGAAATAAAACAGTGAGTTACTCCTTGTCAAGGTCCAAACAAAGTTGAGATTTAGCACTAGCTGTTTGTAAGATGAAATACATTTACACCACTTCTGAGCAGCCACTCTGAGCAGCAAAAATGATTTGAAAGTGATCTGAACTCTAGTAACATCCCTTACTGACAAAAAAAAAAAAGCACGAGTATTTACAAAATATAGACACTTTGCCATTTTTATAGGTCTCATGGAATATACGTTAACTTAAACTGCTGGATATTGGAAGCAAGCCAAATAGCAATTCCTAGAATGCCCAAAAGACATATTTTCTTCTGTGCTGAACTGTGACCTTGTGTTGGTAAGCGTGCAAATACCACAGCAAAGAGGTACACGGACTCCATCTAACAAACAGCCAAACACATCCTCCTGACCACATTCTTTTCTGCTACCACAATGGTGACAGACAGCTGGGTAGGTATCTGTGGAAACACCTGTTCTCATGCACATCACACCAACTGTTCAAACACAATTTACAAACATCAACGTAACCAAGCCTTTGGTGACTGCAACCAGCAGAAGCAGTACTAGAACTTGTTTGCCCGGTCAGCCCACATGGCTGCCACTCAGAGGGGACAACAAAACATAACATAACAGCCGTAACACCATTCCTCCCATGATGCTCAATTTCCAGCAGAAGATGCTCCTCTGTCAATAAGCTCTCTGGAGCAGAGAACATACCCACAAGCATGTTTGCACAGTGTCTGAATTATCCATTGCTGTAAAAATGTATTTTATTTCAGAAAAATAAGAAGGGACCTGAAGAAATCAAACAATGAGAAGCAGCAGAGACCTGCTTGACTGTGCATGGAAGGTAAAAAACCAAACCAAACAAACCACAACACCCTGCCTTTTTATTTAAAGAAAGAATTAACGTGGTATTTCATGCATGATTACATTGAACCAAACCTAATTCTGAAAAGCATTAAGGTACTTTACTCCATGCTGTTAAGAAACAAGATACAGCCAAAGGAAGCAGAGAGTTGTAAACTCTTCAAAATGGAAAGTTGCAAACCTCTTTACGTGCTCAAATGATAGTAATATCTGATGTTAATACGTGAATTGTAGCAGTCTATGTGGCAATGTTCCTTGCAATTACAATTAACAGATTAATATTTCTCACACTGACTGACTAAGATCAGGGATATGTAGTTGTTCGGCAACTTTTAATTTACTGAGAACTTTATTTTTTTTTAGTTCTCTAGCATGCCTATGATCTGAAACAAGTACTTGACATTTCCCATGGCAAAGAAAGGAGTGTTTTCCTCTCAGGAATAGTCTTTTTCCCTCCTTCATGCAAATCCACCTACATTTGGCCCAGTTAAAAGCTTCTGAAAAGCTGCAGCCTGCATACTGTCATAAGGCTTGGTGAAGCACCGTGCCCGAAGCCTGTTCCCAGATCTTCCACGGGCCTGTCACTGACACAACCCTCACTATCCTTTACCAAAAACAGAGGACAGGGACACCAAATCACTCCTTTCTAATGGCTGGCACCTGCTCTTCCAGACAGGCAAAAAAAATCTTTCTTACCCAGGTCATAATTCACCCACTGCCAGCACCAATAGATTGACATGGCCACTGGTGGATCTAAGTTACAGGTGTGTATAATCAACATGTTATAATCACAATATAATTGCGTATAATCAATAGATATCAAGATGTTACAATCACAATAAAATCAAGAGAATTAGGCAAAGTAGACAACGATCACAAAAGAGAATAAGTGGAAGAGCTTACCCTTCAGCTGAGCTCACCAGAAGACACCAAGAGAGGTGATCTCCAGAAGAGATCCTTCCCCTCTGCTAGCCAGCTCTTAAATAGGTC